GGAGGCAGGGTCACATGACAAAAGCCCAGGGAGATGGGTCAGCCCTGTTCCAGGGTCTGTGGAAGAACAGTTGGGCCTGGTGCTTCCTGGTAGGGATTGTTGGCATTCCTGAAAGTGCTCCCCCAAGGTCTGAGAGAAGGGGAAAAAGACATCCCAGGCAGAGACCCCTGCAAAGTCCATGCCTTCTTACTGCTTTGGGGTCTCCATCAGCCACAGTCTCTGAGCGACCAAACCATGTGGCCTGGGCTTCAGGGAGGGTGGCAGTGCTGCTCCAAGCAGCCCTCTCAGTGGTCCCACGCCGGCAGGTTCAGAATGTGCAAGTGGCAGTGGGTGAGACAAGGCAAAAAGACAAGGGAATTGACACGCAAGCCCATGTAGTATTTTATCCACCCGAGTCTGGCAGAGGGAGGGAAGGAAGAAGGCATCCCCCCGGGCCATGGAGCAGCTGGAATGCTCCCTGCCCGCACTGGCTGCTCCTCCTTTCCTCTTCCTGAGTAGACAGGCCTTGGTTCTCTGCCTCCCAATGATTGTCTCTGCAAAGGGTGAACAGAGAAATGTCCTACTCAGACATTATCATGGAGATAGGGCCTGGTACTCCTTAGTGAGCTGATGGAGCTCAGGATCTTCCTGGGTCAAGGGAGGTGGACAGTCCAACCCTTTACACCGTGTCAGTGAATGGTGGTCCTATTAGCCTTCCTCTCAGTGGCTAAGAATGTAAGGAATGGCCCCTCTGGTTAATCCAAATGTTAGAACGTCCAAGGTGCAAGCATTGGTCAGCTAGGGGTTCCCCTGGTGCCGACGACCACCTCCTCCTGCCTCACCTTGGCCCCAGGGTGAACATCCATCCTCTACTATAGCCGCTCTCAAGGGTGCTTCATGCCCCAATCATGGTCCAGACCCTTCCTGAGTTCACAGAATTACAAGCCACCTGCAACCAGTTTTATCAGCCAGAAGTTGAGTGAGTGCAGGTGTCTGGTGTTCTAATAACCACCTCCAGCCACAGAGGCCAGGGAACTGTCAGCAGTTCCCTGTGGTGTGTCCACTAGCCTCTGACCTGCCTATGCCTGCTGTCCTGTCCCTACGAGTAGGTGCCAGCACCTGCCTGTCACCATGAGTTGTTCAGCGACTTTAGCTACTCTCGCAAGAGGGCAAGCCTGTCCATGTACTGGCTAGCTGCCAAATGAATGAATGAATGAATGATGTATGTCAAGCCTGCCCTCTTCCAGCCCCAGGCTGATGGGCCCTGTGCAGGAAGTCTCAGGGCCTCTGGGGTAGAGAGTTTAGCTGAGAATTGGTGTGGGCTTCTCCCCCTGGAGATTGCCTGCCTAGCCTGGTCGTGCAGAGGCAGTATCACATGGAGTTAGGGGTCAGCCTGCTCATGTTCAAATCGAGGCTCCACAGTCACTCTGTGCCATAGTGTCTCATACACCTATGTACATGTTTATGAAGTAGACGTGGCAGGAGGAGGCCTGACATGGGCAGTCTGAGAAGTGGGCAATCTTGGGAGACACAGGGTTTGGAGCAACAGCAGGAAGGAAAGGAAGACCTACGTTGTCACTTCCACCAGCGTTGGGGGCATGTCCCCAGTTCTCCCTGACTCCACTGGCTTGTGACTCACTGGCCCAAGCTGCTTTTTTTCCAGCTGTGTTGGCAGGGTGAGGGTCTGGGGGAGGGAGATGGGCACAGGGAACAGAGGGCCAGATCTGGCATTTTCGGTAAGAGATCCTGCTGCCCTCTCTTCTCTCCGGGCAGAGATGGACAGAGTCTATGGGCCATACCCAGCAGCCCTGGACCACGGTGTCTGAGCCAGCATCTCTCTACAGAGAAGGAAACTGAGATCCCAGAAGGGCAATGGCCCGCCCAAGGCCCCTGAGCCAGATATGGGTCTCGAGGGTTGTGTCAAGAGTCCAGACCCCAGAGCCAGGACATTTCACGGGCTTTGTTGATTTGCAAGCAGAAGGTTGTGGAACCCCCCAAAAAGGGTGACGGACAGAGGGGATTCAGGACTAGACCTGTCATTTGAGGCAGTGGGGACCTGGCTGGAGACCTAGGAGATGCCTGGGGTTCTAAGGGAGGAAGTCCTGAGGTCTCCCCCAGCTGTGTTGGGACTGTTGGTTTTCCTCTGTTCCTTGCCATTGCTTTCACAGCAGCCATCAGGCAGCCTCCTTCACCCTCCAGTGCCAAGCCCAGCCTGGGGATGCCTGGGAGGACCCCTCAACATGTCTCCTCCTTGAGTGACCACTTTGCTGTGGTCAGTGACCAAGCCACAAATGCTCCCTAGGGAGAAGCCCTGGAGTCTCCCAGCAGGAAGTGGAGAGCTCTGCCGTGAACAGAAAAGAGACTCAGTGCCACATTACCTTTAGGGACAGGGAAGAAGGGATGGGGAAGATGACAGGATCCTGTGGAATGTACCTTCCAGGAAGGCACTTGTATTAGTCCATTTCTGTTGCTTATAACAAAATACACAGAACTGGGTAATTTATAAGAAAACAATTTATTGCTTACTATTTCCGAGGCTCGCAAGTCCAAAGTCCAAGGAACATATCTGGTGTTGGTGACAGTGACCCAGGGATCTCTTCCAGATACAGAACTGGGTAATTTATAAGAAAACAATTTATTGCTTACTATTTCCGAGGCTCGGAAGTCCAAAGTCCAAGGAACATATCTGGTGTTGGTGACAGTGACCCAGGGATCTCTTCCAGACATTTCCATACATCCTTTGAAATCGGGGTGGAGGTTCCCAAGCCTTCACAGCTCTGACATTCTCTGCCAGCCTACAGACTTAACACCACGTGGACACCACCAAGGCTTCCAGCTTGTGTCTTCCAAAGCTGTGGGTGCAGCCACACCTGGGGCCAATTTTGCCACAGATGGAATAAACAAAGCAGCTGGGGTGCTGGTGCTGGAAGCAGCATCCCAAAGTAGGCCTAAGAAGTGAGCCCATGGAGGGTGCCTCAGGCCTGTTCCCTGAGATAATTCTGTCTCCTTAGGCCTTTAGGCCTGTAACAGGAGGGTTGGCATCAGAGGCTTCTGCAATGCCTTCAAGGCCTTTTCCTCTTCTCTTGATAATCCCTTCCTTTGTACTAATCTTCTCAGCACCATTGCATTTTTCTCCTGAAAATGCTCTCTCAATCTCTACCACATGTCCAGCTGCAAATTTTCCAAGTCTTTACACTCTGGTTCTCTTTAAAATTTTGGCTTTATGTCATGCTTTTGCCATCATAACTCATAGTAGGCTGTTAGAAGTAACCATGCAGCTTCCTGAATGTTTTGCTGCTTAGAAATTTCTTCCACCAGATACTCTGGTTCACAATTCTTTTTTTTTTTTTGTCTTTTTGTCTTATTTTTCCGTGTCCGGCAACGGATTGCAACCCTCAGTGTTGCCCCCATACCGGACCAGGGACCGGCAACGGGATTGCAAACCTCGGTGTTGCTCCCACGCCTCGCTCAGCCAGTGAGCGGGAGCCGGTCTGTATGTGGGATCCGAACCCTCGGGCGGCAGCGCTGCCGCGCCTCCTAAGCGGCGCACTATCCAGTGCGCCACTGGGCCGGCCCTGGTTCACAATTCTTAAGTTCCAACTTCCACAAAGTCCTAGGGCATGGACACAATCAGCCAAGTTCCTTGCCAATTCATAGCAAGATTGATCTTTGCCCCAGTTTCCAATAAATTCCTTATTTCTATCCAAGACCTCCTTAGAATGGTCTTTAGAGTCCATATTTCCATAAGCACTCTGGTCGCCACCATTTAACCAGTCTCTAAAACATTCCGTGCTTTCCCTGGTTTTCTTGTCCTCTAAACTACCACTAGCAGGTAAGCTTTTTCTATTCTGTTCCTCCAAATTCCTCCAACCTCTCCTCAACAACCAAAGCCATTTCCACCTTTTCGAGTATTTGTTATAAGCAGCACCCCACTTCTCTGGTACCAATTTTCTATATTAGTCCGTTTCTTTTGCTTATAATGAAATGTCTGGAACTGGGTGATTTATAAGAAAAACAAAATTCATTGCATACAGTTTCAGAGGCTCAGAAGTCAAGAGTCCAAGGAAGATATCTGGTGGTGGCCACAGTGACCCAGGGGTCTCACATTGCAAGATGGTGGAAGCAGAGAGAGCAGAGAGTAACCTCCTCATTCACTCTTCTTTGAAAACCCATGACCACCATTTTTAATCCATTCACTACTGCATGGTTCTACAATCTAATCACCTCTTCAAGGCTCCACCTTTCAATTACCATAATAGGATTTCCCACCCTCAATGGTTATAGTGGGGATTAAATTTGGGGGGAACATTCAACCCAAGGCAGCACTGAAGGCAGTCTGTGGTGTCCCAAGACCTGGTGCTCAGAGTACTTTGCTCAGTAAATGTTTGTTTGAATGAACAAATTAAAATGAACAAGGCTTTACCATTTGGCTGTGATTGTCAGGGGTCATGTGGCAGATGCAGTGCCACTTGCTGTGATTGAGGTGTCAACACACTTCACAGGCAGCTGTGAGTAGAGCATTGTGAAAATATCACTGGCCCATGATGGGGAAGAGGAAATGGTTGACCATGAGAGTGTCTGTGAGGCTTTATGCCTGGAGGTCTGTGAAAGCAGAGAAGGTGGCCAAACTGGAGCCACACCGGTGGTCCTGATGGGTTTGAAAGACCCTAAATAGTCTGTGTGTATGGCTGCGGCTCCACTGGCCTTTCCTGAAGGATCATTTCCACATGTTGGACATACCATTATTTCTATTTTGTTTTTTAATTTTTTCATTAAACATTTGTGTAAGTGTGGGTCGTGGTTTATCAGGCCCTCTTCTCGGCGAGTGTGTTGGTCTCTTCTGCCTTGGAAGAGGTACAGGCTCCTCGAGGCTGGACCTGCACCAGGCGTGTGCCGGGAGCCCAGGCTGTCTGGCTCTGCGCCCTGCCCTCTGCGCTGCTCCTTCCCTCCCTGTCCTGCCCCCAGCCTGCCAGACATCCTGCCGGCTCTCATGGCTCCCTTCTCTCTTGTCCCGTCTGCAGGCTGGTGGTTTGTGAGCACCTCTGAGGAGCAGGGCTGGGTCCCTGCCACCTACCTGGAGGCCCAGAATGGTACTCGGGACGACTCGGACATCAACACCTCCAAGACTGGGGAAGGTAAGGGCTGCAGAGGAGGGGGGAGGCCTGGCTGCCTCCGGAGTCAACCTCTCCTGGAGACAGTTCCCCATCCTTCTCCCTAAAACCATCAGAACCCCGGAAGTGAGTTGGGCCATATCCCAGCCCCTTTCCTTGGGATCCCATCTCACTGAAACCAGCCCACAAGCTCACCTCCCATCCCAGGCCTGTCCATGCTGGCCCCCACAAGGGACTAAAAATAGAGGGGAAAGTCAGTTTGGGTGTGAACCTTAGGCTTTGGCAACTTTTGGGTAGAGACTGGGAAACAGTCTTGAGGCTAGACACTCTCCCCCAGAAACCTCCCTCTCCCTAGAAGCCCTGGGTTCCTCTGGGGGACCCCATGGAGCCCTGCCTTTGCTCCCCTGTCCCACACTGTTCTCCCTGCAGCAAGGACGATCCCAAGGGGCTGTGTGCATGTCCTTCTCAGAAGCCCCTGTGCTGGACATCTGTCAGCCTGGCCAAGGGTGCAGACTTGGGCTGTTCTGTGAGCCCTTTTTCAGTGTCTCAGGACAAGGGTGGCTCAGCCCCTGTGCAGTCAGCCTCCCTTATGAACTCTGGCTTGGTGACATTTTTCTGGGTCTTTCTCCTTGCATTTCAAACAGCCTGCCCCCACCCCTGTCCCCTAGACCAGCTTTGCCTCAGCAGTCCAGCCGTCTATAGATTTGGTATTCCCCAGAACAGACTAAGTCCGGGAGGTTTGGGCCACCCCCAATCCCCGGCTGCCTGCTCTTAATGACTTCCAAGCCTCCCAGGGCCTGGCAGCAGGAATTCTTTCCCTAACGGTTGATGGGGACGGTCCAGATGGACGCGTCTGAGAGCCAGAGGGATGGAGGCCTGCCACCCGGGGCTCAGGCCACCTCCAGGCCTACTCTGTCTCACACACACACACACACACACACACACACATGCACACAACCAGTGCCCAGGCCAAAATAAGCAGCCTGCCAAGCGCCAGCTCCTTATTCATCTTTCCCCTAAATGTCGGTTACTCGGTGGGCGGTTGGGGCCCCACCCTTCCTCCTGTGTCAACGCTGTATTTCAGTCCCTTGACCAGAGCCTCAGCCCCTGTGATGTGCATCCACCAGGTGACGGGTCTCTAGGGGTCAGACCCCATCCAGGAGGGCTTGTGTGCTGACGCTGGGCTGCTCACCCCTTCCTGGCTGCTCTCTGAGCCCCGGAGATGAGCCTGCACCCCGTCTCCACTGTACCTCTGCCTCAGTGGATGTCTTGGCCCCTTGCGCTGGGACTGGTCTATTTTGCCTGCAGCCCCCAGCCTCCCCTCCTACCTAGTCCTCCATTCTGCAGGGCATGAATGCAGGGGCTCAGAAATAACAATAGCTCACAAAGTACCAGGGGCTGGGCCAGGTGCTTTAAATACCCTCCCCACTACCCTGAGAGGACACTGCTGCTGTCCCCGTTTTTCCAGCTGTGAGAACTGAAGCTTCGAGACGTTTAGTTATGTGCTTGTCCTGGTAAGGTCTGGACACTGGTCGGCCTCCTTTGCCCCCTGGGCCTCCGCACCTTGCCACATGCCTTTCTGTGAAGCATTTTACTTGAAAGAAATGAAGGCAGCTCTGAACTCAACTCTAGGAGAGTGTGTTGTGCAATTGGAGCCCCCAGCTGAGAAGGCTACACCAGGAAGGTCAGAATGGAGATGTTGGGTAGATGATGGAGAACCTGGGCACTCTGTGGCAGAGTCTGGGGCAGAAAAGAAACAGAGAGTCGTGGGGGCACGGATGCCAGCCTAGTTGAAACACAGAGCAGGTGCTTTGCACAGAACACATGGTAGTAGATTGTAGAGGATTTTGGCCTTGACAGAGTAAGAATCAGGCAGTGGGGTTGTATATACAAAGATGTATGTGTATGTGTGTGTACGTACGCACCAGGGTGACCCTTGTAAAAACAGGTTCCTGTGCTTACTTCTGAGAGGGCCTGTGTGCCAGTAACCCTGGCAACATTTGGACAGCTGTGGATTCCACCATCACATCTTGGGCAATTCCCTCCCAAATCCACAGGAGGACTCAGGGCCAGGTACCCCACACCAAGGCCCCAGCTGCTGTCCTGTGTCCACCAGTCACTTTGCACCTGCAGCCATGTGGCCACGAGATTAGCCTGCCCTGGTTTCCTCTCCAACCATCTCTACCCCATCCCTGTGTCCATCCCACTGTAGGTCCCTGAGCCCTGTAAAACAGAAATTGGAAGGCTGCATCCTGCGAAAGCTTCCCTAACAGCTCATGCTTCGTTGCTTTGGAAAGGAAAGAGACAACTGGCTGATCTGATTTGTTTTTGTTATCAGACACTCTAGTGTATGTTCGTGTTTCTCTTGGCGCCAGGTGTGCTGTGTAGAATTCAGAAATGTTAATGGCAGGGAAGGGGTTGAGACCCTCTCACCCACTGACAGCGATGAGGATCCAAGCCCAACATTCACAAGGTGCTTTAATAAAACATGACATCATCGCCTCTCAGAGGTGAGGAAACAGAGGCTGGAAGAGGTGTGTCACTTCTGCTGAGCCCTCAGATTAGTGTTTGGCAGAGCCCAGACCAGAGCCTGGGTCTCTGCCGGGCCCCACAGTTGCCAGTGATGACCAGCCTTCCTCCCTGGCAGACTCATGCTGGGATCAGCCAACAGCCCACGCTCTCCCAAGGGCAGGCGCTCCGCCAGTGCCGGATTCCCCAGCACCCCACCCTCTCCCCTCTGTCCCAGTCTTAGACCTGGGTATGCATCTGGGCCCTGGAGCCAGACTGCCTGGATTCACTTGCTGCCCGTGACACGTAGGTGAGTGACGCAGGGTTCCATAATGCCCCCGGGCCTCTGTTTCCCTCTTTATAAGAGGGGCTAGTGCCGACCACATAGGGCTTTTGTGAGGCTCAAGTGAGATGATCTTTGTAAATGGTTTAAACCGGACCTGGCATGCAGTGAGTAAATGTCACTTACCGTGAAGGTGGCCCATGGTCTGGGCGTCAGCTGAAGCTTCTGTCACCACAGAGAAGCCCCACATAACTGTGCCACCCCACCCTGCCCAGGAGGCCTCGCATGGGACCTGATTAATGCTCTCCAGAGCCCTTTCAGCCCCTTGTTTTGGCTCATGCAGGGCAGGTGGCATCACCCTACAGCAGATGAGGAAACAGGCTTGGAAAGGGATGGTGGGCTTCCCAGGGTGACACCAGTTGCTGGCAGTGGGGCCTGGACTGTAATCCATACCTCCTAGCCTCTTGCCCGGGCCTCCTGCTCTTAAGAGGCAGGTCAAATGTGCCACTCCTCTTTCTGGGAAAGCAAATACTTCTAGAAGGCATCGGTGGGGTTTGGCCCAGGTCTGTCTCTTTCCACCCACCAGCCTCCCTCCCTTCTCAGACCTGGGCAGCCTGGCATCCTCCTTCTGTGGCACCAGGAGGTGGGGCCAGCTGGAGCTCTGGTCCAGTGTCCATGTTGCCAGTGTGTCCCACAAGGCAGGGGCATCTGCAGCTGAGGCCTGAGCAGAAGGGTGCTCGGGGGCTCAAAGCTGTGCCACAGCAACCAGAGGACCAATGCAGGATGCCACCCCAGAGTGTGAGAAGCTGGGGGGTGGGTCCTCAGTCACAAATCCAGGGCCTGTGGCATCTGTCCAGGTGTCTGTTTCATTTAGCAAACATTTCCTGGGACCTGGCCATGTGCCAGGCACTGTGCTAGGCCCCAGGGACACAGAGATACAAGGCAAAGTCCTTGCCCTCTAGAGACTCAATCCAGTGGAGGCAAGTGAGAAAGCAAAGAAGGAAACCAACCCAAAGCCATGAGAACTATACACCCAGAGTCGTCCTGGGCACACTTATTCTTCCACACATGGTGCCTGCCCATGGTGGCAAGTTCACAGTCAGTCCCTTGTGAGTGAGTGGATGTAAGCCCAAGTGCTATGGGACCACAGACCATCCTGGAATTGGCACTGTCCAGCAGTGGGTGAAACAGTGATCTCTCCAGCCCTGGGGCTGCAGATGAGGGGCTGCGTTGCACTGGGCTGGAGCTAGGGAACATTTTCATCTCTGAGGACTGGGATTCTAAATTCTTCAGCCCCCTCCAAGGCTCAGGGGCATAAGCTCTGAGGGGTTTGGCTTTAGTTGGATTTTCCCCCATGTGCCAACGATGTCATCTGTCAAATCCGCCCCCATCGAGCAGGCATGTGTCCCCAGCTCCATCCAGGTGATGGTGACCTGGGCGTGTGGACCTCCCTCCCTCCCCCCTCCTCTCGCCCCCTCCCATCTCATCCTCATCTCCATTCTCTCCGCCGGTTCCCGTTGGCCGTGTGCTCCATCGCCATCTCCCACATCAGTGTCCAAGAGACGCAAGGCCCATCTGCGGCGCCTGGATCGCCGGTGGACCCTGGGCGGGCTCCCATCTCATCCTCATCTCCATTCTCTCCGCCGGTTCCCGTTGGCCGTGTGCTCCATCGCCATCTCCCACACCAGTGTCCAAGAGACGCAAGGCCCATCTGCGGCGCCTGGATCGCCGGTGGACCCTGGGCGGGATGGTCAACAGGCAGCACAGCCGAGGTGACCGCGGGAGCCACCCTGTCCTCCCTGCAGCTGCCGCCTGTCTCTCGCTAACACCTCTCCTCCTTTTTGGGCTCTGCTTTCTCACCCAGATTCATGGGCCAGGCTTTTTTCTCACCTACTGTGGCAGGGGTGGGGGGCTGCTTGGGCATTGGGGTGGCACTGGTCTTTGTCAACATCCTGGGCATGGGGGTCATGGAACTTAGGACACAGCTGTGGACCCACCAAAGAGGAAGAGGGGCCTGAGAAGGGGACTAAAGGGGGCCTCTAAGGAAGGCCACATTTGCCCTGGAAGCTGCAGGTTAAAGGAACTAAGCGTGTCTAAATCTCTGTGTGGGCCGCCCCACTCCCTCATCCTTCACTGCCTCCTCCCTCTGAGAAAGGGTGCCTTTGGCCAAAGCTGTTCTATTGGTTGCTTGGGAACAGAGTAGAAAGAAGGACCGGCCCACAACCTCCTCCCTCAGCCATCTCCACGGAAACGAGAGGGAGCAAAAGCCAGACCCAGCCTGGCACCAGGGCGCAGCCCCAACAAGCTCTGATGAGGGGTCAGGTCCAGCCAAGAGCACTAGCACTGGGACTTCAGGAGGACCCTGGCCTGGCACATAGGCTGATCAGGGAGCCGAGACATTTGCTGGTTCAGAGCCTTCTGGCCCAGGGCCTTTCCAGCATCCAGGAACTTGTAAGGGAGAGGAGGAGTGGACCTCTGAACAGACCCCTAAACATCTCTAGACACCCCAGGTCAGTGGGTGGCCAGTTTTTCCTGCCCTGCAAAGAGCAGAGTGTGCTCCTCACAGTGACGACACATCTAGAAGTTGCTTGTCACCTCTGAGTGGTGTGCAATGATCCCAGCCTTTCTAAAACACAGGGATGCCCGTGACTCGCACCCCCACCCTCAAAGCTTGTTTCTAAGTGACTGTGGGAGTGTCTTGGTGTCTGCCCCAGGCTCAGGACAGCAGGAAGCCTGGGTTCTTGGGTGGCCACAGCCTATGGCTGTCTGGGCGTTGGGCTCCAAGGGCTGGCCATGAGAAACCCAGCCTGTCCTGAGGGTGGAGCATGGGCTGGACCCTGGGGGCCGACACAGGGAAAGGGGCCGAGTTGTAGAAACATCAAGAATAGGCCAAATGTAAGGAAAAGGCTGCCCTAAGGCTAGGAGGGGTGGGACGGCACTGCTGGAGGTCGGGTGGGAGGCAGCCCCGAGCTTCGGTGGCAAAGGAGAGTGAGACATAGGCCCGGAAACACACAGCAGGGGTGAAGTTTCAGCCTTCTCCAAACACCATCACACACTGAGCCCAATCACAACTGTCTCCACAGCCACATGAACACAGGCAGCAGGCGAAGTCCTCACACCTGGGCACAGCCCTGATAGCCACAGATGTGAATGCAGTACCTGTCACATCCAGCCTCCCCTCCCCCCAGCTGCACCTCCACGGTCCCATGCACACAGCCACCACAGATACACATATCTAACTGCAGTCATGCTACTACCACACGCACACTGCTGCGTGCTATCTACACAATCACAAACGCATCACACACAACTAACTGTTTACGGTCGCATCACATATACTCCTCTGCAGCGAAACCCACAAGTACATATAGCTTCATATACATAACCCCTTAATACCACGTATATATAGCAACATATTCACAGTTACAGACAGACAGGGATATACGTAGGCACAGATACCTAACTAAATGCATAATTCTACAATGACCATACATAAGCAAACAAACCCACAAATTCTCTTCCTCTCTTTCTCTCTCTCTCTTTAATAAGAAACCTAAATAACATAATTTCCCAGTCTTAGCCCTATGGGCTAAGTTAAATAAGGCAGCCAAGAAAAACTTGCAGAGAGTTGGCTGGGAGATACTTCAATGCAAACAGCAGAGCTGGTTGGGGGAGGCAGGCAGTGGGTCATTGAATAATTAGACAAGAGAAACCAGTGCTTCTCTGGGGCCTCCACTCCCAGCCAGCCAGGCCTTTGGAATCGAAAGGCCTCTCAGTGGGGCTGGGTAAGTTGTGGGGGCCGGGAGGGGAGCTGGGGAGACTGCTGACAGAGGGGAAAGTGTTTGGAAGGAGGAGGCTTCTGTGGTTTAGAGACTGCAGGATTTCCAGCCCCTGCCTCCAAAACCAAAACAGGCCCGTCCACCTCCCCCCAACCCACCCACCAGGCCATCTGCCTGGTCAGTCCTCACCAGACAGGCTTGCCACCATCTCTCGATGGCGTGATCAGAGTGCCCACGGCCCCAGTGCTCCCCAGAAGCCCTGAGGAGCCCCCTGGAGCCCAAAGCCTCCCTTGCCGCAACTCCGTTTCCTAAGGGGCATGTCTTCTAGAGACCCTGACCAACGTGAATGACTCAGCCGCCCACTGAGGCCATTTCCATCTGTCTGGGCATTCTCTTCTCTGGCCTGCCCCCCGATGGGGTTTGTGGCCAGTGGAGGGTCTGTCTCTGCTTCTCCCTTGATTACAAGGAGCACCTAAACTCCAGGACATCTATGGTCACTGCAACCCCAGAGCCCCAAAGGACAGAGCCTTTTGCAACAGCCGCTCAACTTTAATGGCCAGAGCTGATATCCTTGGTTCTGCTCCCCCACCCACCCCCAGTAGGTCAGGAGAAAGCAGGAGCTTCCGTGGCCCACAGGACTCATCTTCTGTGCACAACCTGGGGGGCTGGGGCCCAACAGCGCCAGGAGGCTGAGATTGCCCAAGATGCATGAGGCCTGTGCTCTGCCATGAGGCAGGGCAGGGTTCCTCTGATCCTCCCCCAAGAAGGGCTGTCATTTTTCTCTGCAAAAACAACTTTGCCTAGGAAAACTTTAATGATGGCTTCCTGCTCGAACCACAGACTTAAAAATAGCCCAGCCGAACAAGGGCAGAATGTGGAGCCTGGGCCTCTCCTCACCCTAACCTCAGAACCCTAGATTCCCAGGGTCTGGCGCTGCCCCTCTGGCCACCGCCTGGGCCAGGATTTACTGTGCCCCACTGGAAAATGGAGCAGGACCAGGAGAGGCAGGAGAGCGGAGGGTTGGACCATAGAACCCTGAACTTCTCAAAGGCCCGAGTCAGAATCTGGCTGGGCAAGGTTCTCAGGCAGCATTGGCAGTGATCCTCAGCATGGCTGGATTGGAATCTGGAAGCCTCCAAGAGCAAGGCCCTCCCCAGGTTGATGCCAAGAAAGGCCTGCAGTGAAAAAGAGCATGCTGAATAATTTTGCAGGCTCCCATGGGTCACCACCCACCTTTTGGTTTTTGGCAGCTTTTGAATATGGTCAGTGGCCCATTGGTTCCATCTTCGCAGCCCAGTAGGGCAGCCATCTCCACCACAAAGGGAGCTGCAGACAGGACCTGATAATCCAGGGGAGAAGAGAGACAGATGGCCCTCCCGCAGCAGGGTGTTGGAGCGGCAGCTGCCCCCTCCCCCATAGGCGCCAGAGGCTCAGGCAGGCTGCTGGTCAGGGTCCACTGGGGAGTCCAGGGGGTAGCTGCATAGCTGGGAGCCAGAAGGGGCCTTCCGGGCCAGAGGCCAGTGCTCTGCACCCGCATCCTGCTGCTTTGAGCCCACAGAAAGCTTCCTACTCGGTTCCCCTGCCCAGCCCTGACTTTCTCTTCGTTGATGCAGCTGACAGTCTTACTCTACTGTGTGCCAGACCCTGTCTCAGCCCCCATAGAGCACCCAGACCCAAGAGGACAGCATGGTTCAGGGTGGCCCACCCCCCCCGAAGGGTGTGGCCAGACCACCAGTTCTTCCCCCTTCTGTCTCTACCCCTTGCTCTCAAGAAGAGGGATAGGGGAGTGTGTTCCTGAGTGCTGAGCAGTTCTCCAGGGAGGGTCTCATCCAGGAGGCAGGATGTCTCTGGCCAGCCAGCTTTGGGCAGAGCCAGGGAGTAGAACCCAGGTTCTGGTTCTACCTGCCAGGGGCTTCCTGGGACAGGCAGAGCGGGACCCCAGCAGACATGGAAGGAACACCTCTCTGGAAGCCTGAGCAAGGACCCGAGTGGGAGGCACCAGGGCCTCCTGCCAGGAGGGAAACTGAAGGAAAGCAGGGGAAATGCTGTGAGGCCCTGCCTCTCCAGGCCAGCCCACCATGCACTTCCTCTTTTCCTGTGCCTTGGGAAACCTTGAGCAGGATCTTGAAGTCCCATCCATGAGAACAGAGCAGGCTCTCTGGAACTCTCCAGAGGGGCTGTGCGGCAGGCACATGGCCAGCTCTGCACGCACTCCTCCAGAGGATGCACGGGCACACTGGCCCAGTGAGAGCCCACAAGGCACAGCCTGACTGGGCATTTTCATGATCATTTGGCCACAGGTCCCTTTTCACAACAACAAAACACGTGTCAGTTCATTTCTGTTGTTTATGACAGAAGTACCTGAGATAGGGTAATTTGTAAAGAAACAATATTTATTGCTTACAGTTTCAGAGATTGAGAAGTCCAAAGTCCAGGAAACACATCTGGTGAGGGCCTTGGTGGGTGGCGATTCTTCACAGCAATACAAGGTGTCACATGGCGAATATGGCAGGAGCAAGAGAGAGAGTAACCTAACTCTTCTCCTGTTAAAGCCATCAGAACCACACCCATGACCACCATTAAACCATCAATGGATTAATCCATTTACTAGGGTATGGTCCTCACAGTCTAATCACCTCTTCAGGGCCTTACTTTTCAATTACCATAATAGGATTTCCCACTCACTTAACACTGTCATAGTGGGGGTTAATATTCTAATATCTGGAACTTTGGGGGACACAATTCAATCCATAGCAACATGTAACCACTCCCATAGAACTCATGTTCTGTGGAATCTTCTTGAACACATTATGTGAGCAGCTGCTAATGGGTGGGCTGGGTGCTCAGGGAGGGCTTCACCCAGGAGCCAGGAGCCTCTGGAGCCATCTGAAGGTCAGACAAAGGAAGAATTTCAGAGGTCAGGGTGGGGACAGGGCTAGGAGAGCACATCTGGGAAAGATGGAAGCATGGCACAATCTGAGGAGGAGCAAGTCACAGGCTTCAAGGGACACCCAGCATTGGTCTCAGACCTCCTGACTCAGACCCTGTGAGGGGCAGGTTCCTCCTAACCCTACTCTCAGCCCAGTGAGCTTCAGGGGTCAGGTGGCAGCCTGGCTATCAGGCTGGGAGAGCCAACTCCATGCTGCCCACAGCCTTGCCAGGCAACCTGGGTCCTGGCTGGGTTTGGCACACACTGGGAGCAGCAGTGACCCCTGCCCCCATGACCTCCCCACTGCCACCCCCAAGGCCTGGTCCTTCCCTTCCCTGGGGAAGCCAGTGCTTACCTAGTGCACCTTGGCAAGCAGCTGAGCCAGGCCAGGCAGAGGAGACAGGAAGCAGGACCTGCACCCCGACCTCAAATAATCTTGCCTTTTCGCTTCACCCACCCACCCACAGAGGAGAAGTATGTCACTGTGCAGCCTTACACCAGCCAAAGCAAGGACGAGATTGGCTTTGAGAAAGGCGTCACCGTGGAGGTGATCCGGAAGAATTTGGAGGGCTGGTGGTACATCAGGTAGGAGCCCCGGCAGAGGAGTGGATGTCTCTCTCCCACCTGCGCCCTGGGCAGCAGAGCCGAGTGCCAAATGGCAGTGGCCACCAGGCAGGTAGATACTGGCAGCAGCTTTGTGCCCACGGCACAGGCCTGGGCCGCTCCAACTCTGTGCAGCTGAAAAGCTCAACCAGAGTGCTCATCTTGCAGCTTCTCTTCCGGGACACGTAAAGCAGAGCCTGAGCCACAGCCACAGGGCACAGGGGCCCGGCTCGGCTTGCAGGCAGTGGTGCAATCCCTTCCTACGCATCTGCCAGGAGAGTTCAGCACATCTGAATTTGGTTTGCTGCGTCTGGCCTTGGCTGCCTGGTCTGCTCCACAGCTAGGGTCGCCTGGAGTGCTGGTATCCACACACCTCACTGAGGTCCCAGCAGGCAGCCTCGATGGCTCAGCACTCAGGGACCCAGATACGGGCCTCTGGCATCCATGCCTGGTAGATGCAACCCTTCTGCCCTGCAGGGCTGGTTGCCAGGCTGGGGCAGCATGAGACCTGAGCCAAGGCCCAGCTCCAGCCATCAGAAGTCTCTTCCTTCCTTCTCCTGCCCCTTTCCTCTTCCAGGGCCTAACCACACCTCCCAGCTAGGAAGCTCATTTGCAGGTGTGGGTAGGGGAGTGAGGGGCTTTCCTGATCTTCTGAAAGCAAACTAAACCCTGTGGGCTTCACTCTCCATTACCTAAGACCTGCCCTTCCAGCCTCCTCTGCCCTCCGGGGGACCTGCTCAGGAAATGCTTTTGGTTCTTTTGGAACCGGCTCAGCCGTGGTGACTTTGCCCAGCTTCTCTCTTCTCTGCCTGTAACCAGCTGACAGAGATAGCTCCATATCTGTGGGCTCTGGGGACTGTGCCTCAGTCCACCATGCTAGGGAACCCCAGACCCACTATGGGCAGGATGTGTGTTCTGAGCAGTTTCCCACAGAGGTGGCAAGATTGTGCTGTGGCACCTCTGTGACCGAAGTGAGCAGTCATGGAACAGTTGCTCAGGACATAGTAGAACACGATGGTGTTAAAGGTTAGTCTATGCCAAGGGATAGGATGAAAGTCACTGGCCACATGGAGACTGAACCTTAGCGTGACCTGAGGGGACATAGCCCCCTACCCTACCCTGTTGCCTATATCAGAAAAGCTGAGATGTCCCTTTGTGTTGTTAGATGGAATGGGACTACATACTGGACATGTGTTTCCCAAAGCCACTTCCCCTAAACTTGTATGTTCTCTAAGCAATGGAAACTAGAGCCAACCGAAAATCCAACAGCTACAAGTCTGACATGGGAAGGCCAACAAATATTCTGGCAGGCTGGTAGGTTAGTTCACTTGCCTGGAAGTTATCTACAAGACTGCTTCATTTTGATTTCTTTTGTTTTTTGTTTTATTTTAGTTTATTATTTTGTAGTTTTCTAAAATGACCAATGGAGTCACTCTGAGCTGCTTTTGGTCAGCTCTTGTCCCTATGGCCTAGTCCTTTAGCTATCAGGAGCTTGGATTAAGAAAACGCTGCTGAAAAGGTTCCACCTTAAAAAAGCTGCCAGACACCCCCTTAAATATGCCATTTCCCAACATTCCAGGCTGTGTTGATCCTCATTTCCTGTCTTCTCCTCCCCCCACTCCTACACACACACACACACACACACACACACACACACTCTCTCTCTCTCTCTCTCTCTCTCTTTTGCTTTCCTCTGGAGTCATTCCATGTTCCAGAGCTGGAAAGCAGATGTGAGCAATGTTGGACCCAGACACATACCGCCCTCCTGATTCCCTTGCATTTCTCTGCCTGGAATCTAATTTTATCCATGTAACCCCAGAGGAACATAACGGGCTTTAAAATGGGAGCACTCAGGGCTATAAGCAGGCCTGACCGTCACTGCAGGAGACCCCTCTCCCTATATCTCTACAGTGTTCACATTGAAAAACATTGGCAAGGGCTGTGGCTGTATCTTCATCTTTTCTCCAAGATACAAGGGCACTGGGCACTGCCAGATGCTGTCAACAGCTAGCTGTGTGGCTCCCTGCTACTTGCTTTGATTTTCTGAGCCTTGGCTGTTGGCTCATGTGAAGAAGAGGCATTCCCACACACACACACACACACACACACTCTCTCTCCATCCCTCTCTTTCCAGTTTGCTTTCCTCTGGAGTCATTCCATGTTCCAGAGCTGGAAAGCAGATGTGAGCAATGTTGGACCCAGACACATACCGCCCTCCTGATTCCCTTGCATTTCTCTGCCTGGAATCTAATTTTATCCATGTAGCCCCAGAGGAACATAACGGGCTTTAAAATGGGAGCACTCAGGGCTATAAGCAGGCCTGACCGTCACTGCAGGAGACCCCTCTCCCTATATCTCTACAGTGTTCACATTGAAAAACATTGGCAAGGGCTGTGGCTGTATCTTCATCTTTTCTCCAAGATACAAGGGCACTGGGCACTGCCAGATGCTGTCAACAGCTAGCTGTGTGGCTCCCTGCTACTTGCTTTGATTTTCTGAGCCTTGGCTGTTGGCTCATGTGAAGAAGAGGCATTTTTACTAGTTGCTCCCATCTACCCTTGAAATTCTGTGCTTCTGTTTGCACTACATCAGGGAGCCAGGACAGCCCCCTGACTTCCATCCATTTGTTCACTAATGTCTGCCTTCCAAGCCCCAGCAGGTGAGCTTGGAACAGCCTGCCTGCATGTTCCTGTGATGTGAGTGTAAGAAGCTACTGTCTACTTGAACTTTCCAGCAAAGCTCAGGCATACCGATAGGAACTTCAGCTTTCATGCTGCTTTTCTCCCACGTAATGAGCACCCAAGAACAAGGTCATATTGGGGAGAGGAGGAGGTTGTCAGACATCTGGCAAGGAGGGCCATTCCAAAGAGGCAGATGTGTCCCAGGGAGCAGATGGGGACATTGCAACCCAGACTTGGGGACATTGGCCAGCAACTGCTGGACCAGGAAGCTCCTGGTGTGTTTGAATAAAAACTCAACACCATGGGGAAGAAAGGAAAAAGCTTGTTTTAAGAAGTCATCAAATCACAGGCCGGCCCGGTGGCGCACTGCTATAGTGCACCGCTTGGGAGCGTGGTGGCGCTCCCGCCGAGGGTTCGGATCCCACATACAGACCGGTTCCCGCTCACTGGCTGAGCGAGGCGTGGGCGCAACACCGAAGGTTGCGATCCCGTTGCCGGTCCAACACCGAGGGTTGCGATCCCGTTGCCGGTCCCAGTCCGGTGCGGGGGCAATACTGAGGGTTGCGATCCGTTGCCGGACACGGAAAAAGACAAAAAAGGAAAGGAAAAAAAAAAAAAAGAAGTCATCAAATCACCAAAAATTAAGTCAGCCCTGTCATTCGCCTTTTGTTTTGTTTATAAGCTTTTGGTTTTGTTTCATTTTGTTTTGTTTTTCTTTTGTCATACCAGTGGTTTAAATTTTATCCAGTCATGTGCTTTAGTCTTTCCATTTATGGTTTCTGCTTTTGGAGCTCCACTTAGACTTTCTAAACCCCCAAGATTATGTAAATATTCATGACTTTCCATTTTTTATTTTGCTATATGGTGTGAGGTCAAGGTCTCACTTAGTTGTTTTTCCTAACTGGGTAATCACTTTTCTCCAAATCATTTATTGAATAATCCATCCTTGCCCCATTACTTTGAAATGTTACCTTTAGCCTGTTTGTGGACTTATTCTATGAGCTTGACTCATCTCTCCCTGCAGTAGTACCACTAGCCTCCCCAGTCAGTCAGTCTTCTTTACAGGCATCTTTTTAGTTGGTCTCGATGTGTCTATCCTTCTGGATACCTTGTAGCAGCTACTCTATCCGTGCATCTTGCAGAAAAAAATGAACTCCAGGGCAGGGACTTGTCCAAGGTACCATAGACTAGAACTCAGGTTTCCTGACTCTCACCTGTGGCATCTCTTACCTCTCTAACAATACTTCTCTTTCCTATAAGGCGTTTAATTCTATACACCACATCCACACCTTCTCATTTTGTATCTCTAGAATTACCCTCAACTGACTGTGAGGCAGCAGGCCAACCCAAAATTTGAGAAATCTTATCTCAAAGTCCTATGTTTGCCTGACTTTGCAGAGAATAAGAGCCCACACCAAAAAGGATCCGGCAAAGAAAAAGGAGTTAGAGGGGAAGACATGATGTTCTGAGTGGCTTTTCCACCTACCCTCAGTTCCAATTCTCTCTGGAGTAGTGGGACTGCCAAGTCTCTTGCAGAACATGGTAGAGAAGGCTCTTCTGATCAAGGCCAGATGGAGACATGGCTGGGAGTGGGGTGTGGGGTCAGGCATCAGTGCTCTAATGATAATGTGTCCAACTTCTCCCACAGATACCTGGGCAAAGAGGGCTGGGCACCAGCATCCTACCTGAAAAAGGCCAAGGATGACCTGCCAACCCGGAAGAAGAATCTGGCAGGTCCAGTGGAGATCATCGGGAACATCATGGAGATCAGCAACCTGCTGAACAAGAAGGCATCTGGGGACAAGGAGACTATACCAGCTGAAGGCGAGGGCCCCGAGGCCCCCATTGCAAAGAAGGAGATCAGTCTGCCCATCCTCTGCAACGCCTCCAATGGCAGTGCCCTGGGCGTCCCTGAGAGGACTATCTCCAAGCTGGCCCAGGGCTCTCCAGCCGTGGCCAGGATTGCCCCTCAAAGGGCTCAGATCAGTAAGAGCCTTGCTGACCTCTGGGTGCTCCCTGCAAATCTCTTCATAGAGTGGGTATGGGGTGCAAGGGAAGCCAGAGGGCTGTACCAGACCCCCATGTGACCCTCACTCTGTCAGCTTGTGTGAAGCTAATCACAAGAGTGCAGAAGCAAGGGAGTTTGATGACTCAGGTTCTTCCAGCTGCTCCACTGAAGATAAATTACAGGAGTATATAGGAGGGTAGCATTCCCTCCTTTTCCTCTAATGGAGAGCCAGGAATGGTCACTTTGTAGAAAAATGTATGCCAAAAGCAAGAAGCATTTTCTTTTCTCTAAAGTGAAGGCTTCATAAATCAAAATAGATGATGTGAAGATGATTTTAAAAAACAAAAAACCACGTTTCCCTGGGCTGCTGAACGTGGGCCCTGTATGCAGGGCTGCTTTATGGAGTGACTGCCTATCAGAGAACACCTTTCTGGGCCTTAGCTGCTCCTTCTCTATCGCCTTCTACCAGTTACTGGAAACCTAAAAGACTTGGAAGTGGAGGCTTTACCCCTCTCCACAAGCAGTTTCAACAGGGCATTCTTCAAGAATCGCCCTCACAGTTACAGGAGAACCTGGGCTCTCCATCTCTGGCCCAGCAATGCCTTTGGTTGAGGGTTAAACTGTTCTATATTAGGGGATACTAGCTTCTGTTTATGTCCAGCCATTCTTAAAATCTGGAGGAAAGCTGTTTTTTAGTTTAGCTCCAAAGTTGGTTAAATTAGCTCTCGTGCCTGAAACCTTTTAGGCAACCCATTGGGAAATATTTATTGGGCACCTCCTCTTGCCTGGCATCTAAGGATTTGGTAATGAGCAAAAAATAGACATGGTCTCTGCTCCTAACACTGAAAATTGATAAAGCTACACACCATTTACCCTGAAAAATGCCCATGTCTGTACATTTTGAAATGTGTACATAATTTTAGAGGGTTCATGGATCCCCCTAAAACCCAGCCAAGGAGGCTTAAAAGTCAGTGGTTTCCCCTTGAAGATGCCCAGCCATGGTGCCCATAGTGACTCAGAGCACCAGGTCATTGGTAAATGTGGAACAGAAGCATGAACTTCCCAGGATCAGGAGTTGGTTAAAGCTAGGGAAGGTGGTGTAGGCACTGTTGCCCATAGTCTGACTGAGATTTCTTCTTCTAGGCTCCCCGAACCTAAGGACAAGACCTCCGCCACGCAGAGAATCCAGCTTGGTATGTATACCAAATTTCTTCTCACTTATTCATTCCTTTTCTGGGGATGCACTGTAGCAGCCCCGGCTAGTTGGCTGTCTTACTGCAGGGCCTATCGTCCAGGGGTTTTTCAGGGCCCTGCTTAGGCTCCCAGCTTTGTAGGGCTGGGAGCAGGGAGGGATGCCTGCGGATCCCAGCCTTTCTGGGAGCCTGGATGGATAGTTTATAATTGGAAATGCACCACACTCCAAAGCTAAATAAATCTATCCCAGCCACTGCACTGGCAGACATAAACATTTAGACTGGCCGGCAAGAGTGTCCAGCCGGGGCATTGCCAGGGGTTGGGAATGGGGCTGCTGTCCATGTTAGCCTGGAAACCTTTCAGCTTTGCCTTGCTCAGGAATGCCCAATGGATGTGGTGTATGCCAGGGCCTGGGGGGCAGAAGGCAGACCAGTGAGCATCCTCCAGGGAGGGCAGGATTTGCAAGGACTATCTCATGCCAAAGTTTAAAGAGGATTAACGCTGCTGGGGTCCCTGGCTCCTGTGGGTGGGGCTTCCTGGTGTCCAGACACTCAGGCAGGCAGACATGCAATCAGGAGCTAGGACTTGGGGTGGCAGTGATGCTGGTGGCAAGCTGAGAGCTCTAGAACAAAGACCTGTTACCAGGGCAGTGGGATGCAGTGGAAATATTGGGGCTGCAGGCCTACCAGGCATGAATTTGTGTTCCACTTCTGACACTTAGGTGCAGAGAGACCCTAGGCAAGTCACTTACCTTCCACAAGCCTCAATGTCTTTATAAGATGGGCACAGTACTAGCCATCTCCCAGAGCTGTTATAGGGATGAAATGAGATGATGTATGTAAAGTACTGGCAAACAGTCTCCATGTCCTGTGTCAGCTCTTGACTGTACAAGCTGGTAGGTACACTGCGTTGAGAAGGATTCTAAAGTCACACCTGGGCTTAGCAGCAAAAATTACTGTGGCCAGTGACATCTGCCCTGGAGAGAGAGTTAGCATCAGTCCCTGGGATCTGGGCAGGCCCTCCATAAATATAGGGTTTTGGAAGATTTGGTCCCTGGAGATGAGACCTTCCTTGCCCTGGCCATGGGTCCCAAAGGAGTTTCTATCTCTTTTTCCCTTTGGGTTTTACACAGCTAGATAGTGAATTCTCCATTCCTCCCATCTCTTTTTAGCCGCAGCTAATTATTTTCAGGCAGACTTGATTTTGGCACAAATGGAGTAATTCCTTCCACACTTACCAAATACAGGCATTGCTGAGGCAGGGCTGCTGTTTCCAGTTAGGCCCAGCTGAATCCCACCTGGCCAGGGTTGCAGGCCGGGCTGGGGCCTGGACCACATCTGCCCACGTGCACAGCTGCAGAGCCAGGCACTGGGGCAGGGAAAGTTGACTGATGCACACCTGGTCCCTCCAAACCAGCTTCCTCCCACCCCTTGCTCACTCTCAGTCATAGGCAGCTCAATTTTCACCCTCAGGATTAACTCAGCCTTCAAGGATGAGGAAAGTTCAGAAGAAGAGGAGAGTGTTTCAGGAGGAGTAAAGTTTAGGCTCCTGTTTACTGAGCTCTTCTATGCCCCTGGCTGGGCCAGAAGTTAAGTATATTATCTCAGTAATCCTCTTAATGACCCTGTTACTAGTTCCATTTTACAGATGAGGATACTGAGGCTCAGAGAGTTCAAGGGCCACACAGCTGATGAATTGCTGGGACTGGAGTCCCGCTCCAAGGCAGAGGTCTTCCCAGGTCTTCCTGCTACACCACAGCTGCTTCCCCCTCCCTCCCCCTTCTCATCTTTTTTTCCCAGTTGTTTTGTTGTAACCCCTTTGTATGGAGGACATGCATAGGGAGACACAAAGTCCATTTTAGCCAGAGTAGAGACTGGTTGAAGCTAGAATGTATGATCCAGGACAGGGGGTATCCATTTGGTTTAATGTGTCTGGCACGTTGTAGACACACAACAAATAGTTGTAAAATGAAGGAATGAGGCTCACAAATCACAGGCTGAAGCCAAATTCTAAGTGTCCTTGCATGTCGTGTTTAGATGTTGCTGTGCCCATCTCTGAGCAGCATTTGAGATCTCTGGTGTGTCCTGCCCTGCCCATAGTGACAAAGGAAACAGAATTATTCACTGTTTGCCTGACCATTTGGTTCATCATGATGATCAACCAAAGACTTTCTTCACCCAGCCCCTCTGCCCCCTGGACTCCCATCCCATCCTTCGAGGGGGGTGCACACCACTCTCCTGCCTCTGCCGTCAGATGTCCCCCGCAGCCCCTTGCCCCTAGACTTCAGGGCAGTGGCTCCCCTCTCCCACAGGGCAGCGTGCACAGGCTTTGTTAGAACAGTTCCTTTGCTTTTTAATTTTGCTTTTTTTAATTTTGGGAGCCAGCTATTGAGGCATCTGAAAACTGGGCCTCCAGAGATGTATGGGTAGAAATTACTGTGTTAATAATGAGCATTTTGATTGCTCAAGTGAATCCTAAGTGTTACGAGGAAGCCTTCTCAGGAGAGCAGTCTCTTGGGGATATTCCCTGAGACTCAGGTGACAGATACGTGCTCAGGCCAGCTGCTGTGGCTACTGTGAACAGCCATCTGCACCTCCTAGGGACCGAGTGGTGACAGTCCTTTCCCTTGTTACTGTCCTCATTAGGTGGGTTTTACTCTCTGTGTCCTTCTCTGCCTTAGGGGTTCCAACTGCCAAAGCCCCCAGAGCCCCCTTCCGTTGAGGTGGAATACTACACCATTGCCGAGTTCCAGTCGTGCATTTCTGACGGGATCAGCTTCCGGGGTGGACAGAAGGCAGAGGTGAGCCTCAGGCCATGGGGCTGAGGGTTGTAACTCATTGTGGTCAAAGACCTACTGCATTTCCCATAGTAGGTCTTGCTGGTAAGGTTCCTGAGGAGCAGGCAGAAAAGGTAAGAGCCCCACAGAGATGAGCACTTGTCTGAAGCCAGTCAGTGCCACAGGCAGGACTAGAACCCAGGACTCGTGCCTCCACCCTGTGCTCACAGTGCTTGCCTTACAGCACTGCTTCCCAAAGCGTGTGATGGAGTTTGTAATGGAGAAACAAAGGGCTTCTCTGATCAGATGAGCATGGAGGACACTGGGTTAAACAGAAACCAACCAGTTTTGTTGTTTTAATTGCAGGGCTTCTCAGAGCCTTGGAGGATGTTATTGGAAGTCTCTGTAAAGAGACGAGAATAGGCAGTATGGCTCAGATGCCCACAAGCTCTCTCTACCCCTTGGGGGCCAGGACCCTGCAGAACCCCCATTAGGAAGTGCTGTTGTTGGGAGAATGTGGTCCAGGCAGGTGGAGTAAAATACTGAGCACCTGGGTCTGTCCAGGTCTACGCTGCAGGACCTCTGTCCTTGGATGCAGTCACATCTGCTTCCTGGCTTTGAGTATTTCTCTCTGCAAAATGGGTTAGCAGACCCCGCATGCTCCCTCCCAGCACATCTCCTGGCATTTATGCAATTCTGTTTTGCGGCTGGTGCTGGGCATGGTATTCCAGGAGACAGAAGATCTGTGACTCGGTCATTTCTGTTGAGTGGCTTTGTGTAATAATGGAGTTACATCCAACTGATACATGTGAAACTGTCAGATTCATTGGGCGATCTCTGCCTACTGAAGGGATGACATCTCCAATGTGAATATTTTAAATTCCACTTCTGGAACTTGGAACTAAGTTTCCAGGAGAAATCATTCTCTCAATGGTGCTTAGGATTCCAGGAGAGCCTACAAAGCTCATGATGTAACAGAACTGTCATATTTAGGACCCACCCTAGCTTGAATTTTAGATCCAGGGCTGTGGCAGAGTGAAGGATGGAGTCTAGGACTAAAGGAAGGAGAAATGCTTTTTTGGTGGGGGCTGCAGAGGGCTGGTCTCAGGCAGGGCTGGCCTTTGGCATTCCCCACCCTCCCTTCCCTCCTTGCACCTCTCTTCCCCTTCATTCTTCCCCTCCCTATCCCCAGGATTTCTTCTTCCAGGGGTGTCCCACAATCCCAAATTATCTTTCCTTTATGTTCCTTGGTCCAAATGAACCCCAGTACTGCCAGTAACCATACTACCAGCCATCAGCCGATCTCACGGAAGTCAAGGAAGAAGCTCCTTGAACTAGTTTATACTAACAGGGAAATGACTAGAAAGTCCCTCACCCTTTCTACAGGAAACCATCCAACCCAAAGAAATCTCTTCGGTCAGTGGGATTTCAACAGGATTCCACAGACAGTGAAATAGCCATGGGCAGTAGCCCCTGGGGGAGAGATGTTCTGCAGGGAGCTCTGACCTCAGGCCTCTACCCCCAGTTCAATTCATCTACATCTTTCCATTCTCTTCTGACCTGAGACACCTAGGACTTAGCAATATTGGGGGTGGGAGTGGGACGGGGCAGCGGAATGGCAGTTTTTTATACATATGGGTCCTTGGTGAGTCGGGTTTTGTAGGGACTGGCAACGGTAGCTTCTAAGTGCGGTAGCTCAAGGGGAGGAGGAGAAAAGGTCTATGGAGGAGGCCAGCTCGTCCAGGGTGTTGACACAGACTTGGAGGACCAGGGAAGAGGGCCTTGGAGAGTGAGAGCTGCCCTAACCATTAGATGGTAGGCTCCTGGGTTTGAATTCTGGTCCATCACTTACTGCATTGGGTCTTGGGTCACTCAGTGGCTCAGTTTGCCCATCTGTGAAATGGAGATAATGTCTCCTAGAGCCAAAATATGAAGCTCCTAGCCTGGGACATCATAGCATCCCAGAGATCTCCCAGCTCACTGGCCTGTCTAACCTCTTCCCCTAGGTCATCGATAAGAATTCAGGCGGCTGGTGGTATGTGCAGATCGGTGAGAAGGAGGGCTGGGCCCCCGCGTCATACATCGATAAGCGCAAGAAGCCTAACCTGAGCCGCCGCACAAGCACCCTGACCCGGCCCAAGGTTCCCCCACCGGCACCCCCCAGCAAGCCCAAGGAGGCCGAGGAGGCTCCTGTGGGGGCCAGCGAGAGACAGGACTCACCGCTGAAGCTCAAGTACGAGGAGCCTGAGTATGACATCCCTGCTTTTGGCTTCGACTCAGAGCCAGAGCCGAGTGAGGAGCCTGCGGAGGACAGAGACTCTGGGGACAGGCGGCCTGCCCAGCCCCACCGGGCCTCGCCCACCTCCTCGCTGCAGCGGGCCCGCTTCAAGGTGGGCGAGTCTTCAGAGGACGTCGCCCTAGAAGAAGAGACCATCTATGAGAATGAGGGCTTCAGGCCATATGCAGAGGACGCCGTGTCAGCCAGGGGATCCTCCGGGGACAGTGACTCCCCAGGGGGATCCTCGCTGTCCCTCGCCAGGAAAAACTCCCCCAAGTCAGGCTCCCCCAAGTCATCATCGCTCCTAAAGCTCAAGGCAGAGAAGAATGCACAGGCAGAATTGGGGAAGAACCACTCCTCGGCCTCCTTCTCCTCGTCCATCACCATCAACACTACCTGCTCCTCCTCCTCCTCCTCTTCCTCCTCCTCCCTGTCCAAGAACAGTGGCGACTTGAAGCCCCGCTCTGCCTCGGACGCAGGCATCCGTGGCACTCCCAAGGTCGGGGCGAGGAAGGACGCTGATGTGAAGGTGGGGCTGACCTCCTGTGCCCGGGCCAAGCCATCGGTCCGGCCCAAGCCGTTCCTGAACCGAGCAGAGTCACAGAGTCAGGAGAAGATGGACATCAGCACTTTACGGCGTCAGCTGAGACCCACGGGCCAGTTCCGGGGGGGTCTCAAGGGCTCCAAGAGTGAGGATTCAGAGCTGCCCCCTCATATAGCCTCCGAGGGTCCCGGTGAGGGGTCTAGGAGAGGCTCAGCTGACCTCATCACCCTCCCGGCCGCCACTCCCCCGTGTGCCACCAAGAAGGACTGGGAAGGGCAGGCCACTTCCTACGTGACATGTAGTGCCTACCAGAAGGTCCAGGACTCAGAGGTCAGCTTCCCCGCAGGCGTGGAGGTGCAAGTGCTGGAGAAGCTGGAAAGCGGATGGTGGTATGTGAGGTTTGGGGAGCTGGAGGGCTGGGCCCCCTCCCACTATCTGGTGCTGGAAGAGAGCGAGCAGCCTGACCTCCCTGGCAAAGAGCCAGACGCCATAACTGCTAAGAGCAAGCAGAATGAGGGCAAGTCAGACAGCCTGGAAAAGATCGAGAAGCGGGTGCAAGCACTGAACACCGTCAACCAGAACAAGAAGGCCACACCACCCATCCCCTCCAAGCCCCCGGGGGGCTTCAGCAAGACTTCAGGTGCCGCAGCGGTGAAGATGAGGAACGGCGTGCGGCAGGTGGCCGTCAGGCCCCAGTCAGTGTTTGTGTCCCCGCCGCCCAAGGACAACAACCTGTCCTGCGCCCTACGGAGGAACGAGTCGCTCACAGCCACTGACGGCGTGCGGCAGGTGGCCGTCAGGCCCCAGTCAGTGTTTGTGTCCCCCCCGCCCAAGGACAACAACCTGTCCTGCGCCCTACGGAGGAACGAGTCGCTCACAGCCACTGACAGCCTCCGAGGCGTCCGCCGGAATTCCTCCTTCAGCACCGCCCGCTCAGCGGCTGCCGAGGCCAAGGGCCGCCTGGCCGAAAGGGCCGCCAGCCAGGGCTCGGACTCCCCCCTGCTCCCCACCCAGCGCAACGGCATCCCCGTGTCCCCCGTGCGCCCCAAACCCATCGAGAAGTCTCAGTTCATCCACAATAACCTTAAGGATGTGTACATCTCTATCGCAGACTACGAGGGGGATGAGGAGACAGCAGGCTTCCAGGAGGGGGTGTCCATGGAGGTTCTGGAGAGGAACCCCAATGGCTGGTGGTACTGCCAGATACTGGATGGGGTGAAGCCCTTCAAAGGCTGGGTGCCCTCCAACTACCTTGAGAAAAAGAACTAATGGAGGGCCTGGGGTCCTTCCAGCCTCAGTGTGCCGCCCACTGGATGAGCGGTGAGATGAAGACAAGAGAGCGGAAAAAATGGGAGGGGGTGGGGGACGGGCAATATTAAACTCTGTGGGATGTGTGACCTCAAAGATGCCCCCTTCCAGGCTGTCCCTCAGCTGAAAGGTAGGGTACAGTGGGGACCCACATTGAGTAGGGAAGGGAATGGGCAGGGGAGTCCCAGGCCTAGGACCCAGAGATGAGAAAGCAGAGACTCATGTGCACCTTGGTGACTTCACCTATGGACTGTGCACTATTTGGGACAGGCCATGTGGGAAATCCCAGTGGTGCCTTTGCTGCAAACCTGGAAAAGATGTGGTCATGGGGCCCTCCGGTGTCCTGCCCTGCTTGGCTCAATTGTGGTAGCTGTCACCTTGCCACCAGAGGTAGCCTTGTATTGTCCTCATCTGTATTTGTGGATTGTGCTAGTTTCCCAGGGATTGCCACCCCCTGCCACAGGTGGGTGCATTAGAAGACACCACCGGCTCTGGGGCTCGGAGGTGCCTCTTGTGAGATCAGCCCATCCCTGGGCCAGGCCACTGTCCGTGTCTGTTAGTTGAAGAGAAAGCAGCTGCCAGCTGCCAGCAAGGACCTCCTTTCCGAGCTGTCACTGGCCTGGCCTTGGGAAGAGAGGCTGCCCTCCTTGAGGCACCCCA